GACATCATGATTTATGTGACAAGTTGGGCATGATTGACATCTATGTCCCAACTTGAGGGGGAGTGTTAACAGCTGTTATTTTTCCTATGTATAGTACCGTAGGGGTACTATTGTACTTTTGCTCCTTTTTTATTTTAGTTGCTGTCGCCCTAGTATATATATTAAAAAGATGCGCTGCCAGCAGGATCTTTGAGCTCTCGGTTCTCTCTTCTCTCTTCTTCTCTCTCTTTTCTCTCTTCTTTCATTCTTCTCTCCTGCATAACAGGATCAAATCCCGCCTGCACCTGGGTTGGGGGATGGGCTACCCCCCGTTGTGTAGCCCTTCAAAAGAAATCAAAAAGAAAACAAGTGTTATGTGAAAGAAGCCACATCTGAGTGGCTTATTTTCATGGTTCTTTGGTGGAATTAATTTGAAGCTGAATCCATCAATAGGACCAGAAGTGTTTAGAAAAGGATAATGGAAATTGGAAAATGCAAGGAAAAGAGAGAAAAATGGACTAGTGTGATGATGCACATATCAACCTAATTTTTTTAGAATAATAATACAATTTTATGAACCTGTCAAAAAAATATAATTTTGTGAAAACAATAAACAATTTGGGCAGGTTTTCCCAATAGGATAATAATATAATTTTGTGGAAACATATTGTACGAACATATGATCAGTCTGGATGTGCATATCAACCTAATGTGTTTTAGAATAATAATACAATTTTGTGAACCTGTCAAAAAATAATACAATTTTATGAAAAACAGTAAACAATTTGGACAGGATTTTCCATTAGGATAGTTATATAATTTTGTGGAAAAATATTGTGCAAACATATGATCAAATCTGCATGTGCATGCCCAGGTTGTAGGTTCTCTAGTTTGTAGGCGAGACACCCATGTCAATATCATCATATAGGAATTTTGGTTTTGTAAAGGCTAAACTTTGTATTGATATCTATAGCTTGATAGTTTAGAAGTGTATTTTAATTGCGAAAATCCTGGGTGGGAGTAGCTGCATGCAAGAAATTGCCCTTGTACTTCTGGTTAAACGAGTCAGGAACCTCATTGGTTACCATGCATGGATTTTCTAGAAACTTCATATTTGGGCCATTACATGATGTAGGTAATAAATACTTCTTGCGGGGAGAAAGTGCCTTGGGGATGACTTGAGAGGTTCCCCCTCTGCATCACATGAAAAGCAATGGGAAAAGCCTTAAGCATTCTAAAAGAACTGAAGTCTCCTATTCAAGAGTCTTAGTCAACAAGCCAATTTAGCAGCTGTTTTGATGTTTTTATTCTCCCACATAGTAAAATTCTTTACCAAAGCTTCATTGTTAAACTCAGATATAAACTATGTGAAAAAAATCAGTAAGCATTGGAATAGTGAGGAATGTTGTTATTTCATCCTTTATTTTGCTCGATTTTTTTATTTGTGGATTCTTATTTACATTAGATTTTTTTTTTGTCTCTTCTGACTTGTCTAGTTTGACCATTTTTAGGTATGAGCAGGCAGAATTGATTGAAAGAGAGATGGAACAGATGGCTGAACAAATCAAGTCAATTATTCAGACCTTAAATACTAGCCAGGTATAGTATGATTTGATGGGTTGAAGTGCATTCTTCTTGTAAACATTCTGTCAGGAATCCTTACTTGGTCAAGTGTTCAGGGTGGGGACCTTGATGCAATAGATGGGATGACTCCGTTAGATGTTGTTGTCCGGATTCTAAACAATCAACTTAGTTCACTCATGTGGATTGATGAAAAGGTTAGTATCGTTTACTGTCTTCATTTGCAGGGTATGTGTTAACTTTTTTTTTCTTAAACATATTTCTTCTAATCCTTGAGAACCGTACCTTGCATGATTGCTTCTCCTTGATCAAGTTCTCGTTTTCTGCTTTTGATTGTTGCTCCTTGATTAAGTTATTTTATTGGTTTTTTGGCATCAAATCAAACAATCATTGGACATGGTGGCTCAGTTTGGAAAGAGTACAAATACAAATATGTACAGTACAAATACATATAAAATAATACAAAACACAAGGTTTTGCACTCTACATATTTGTATTTGTATTCCTTCCAAACTGAGCCTGTAGAATTCCCATGTTTCATTGTTCCAGGCATTTGTGCCGAAAACATAGTATTTCCTTGATTGTATATGCTGTATTTTGTTCCATGGCTTGAGCCCTAATGGCTAAAATTCATGGCAGGCTGGAGAGTTCTCTTCTCGCATTCAGCAGCTAGCTAGCCGTGGTTCTGCTGCCAACCAGGACTTGGCCGGTTCAAGATTTTGGATGAGTTGATCATTGACCTGTTGCTGAAGAAGGCATATATATGAATCAGCTGTGCCAAGTGAAGCCAGGCAATGTGCTGAGGTGTTCCATATGTGCCTTCACTATGGTCCATGGAGAATTTTTATTCCTTCCCCAATGACATCCAACTAATTTTCCCCTGTTCTGTTTTTTCCCATTCTCTGTTATTCTTCTTTGATAGAGTACTGTATATCTGGCTGTACTTGAAAAGCCCCAACCGTGTAATTTTGGTGTATGCTGCTTATTGGAAGTAATTTAGACTCATTGTGTAATATAGCAATAACGTTTTTACGGGCTGTAACCCAATTAGGATAAGCTGACAATCGGAGCACTTGAGTTTGTTGGAAACTTGGGACTCTAGACATCAAAAAGAATATACTAATGTTGGTTTAGGGCAGCTGAGAGCAAGCTGATTTTGCATCGATTACTTGAATTTGGCTGTCATAAACCGGATTTCATGCTACCCCACATCAAAAAGAATATACTAAATAGTGCGCTCCACCTCTGGCTCCTCTCACCAGCAACCAACTTCGCGTGTGAAGTGCCCCCTCAAGTTGGTCCTCCCCTAGAGCACCCTAAAGGATCTTGAAGGGTTGAAGAATGAAAATGAGCGACTTACTTTGCCTTAGAAGTCCAGCTCCAATGCCTGGAATTGGGCCTAACGCCCAGTCGCCCACCTTTACAATGTTCAACATTCAGGAGGGTGCATTCCTGCCAAGGAGCTCCTAGGACCTCCACGCCACCAATACCAATAGCAGCATCAGCATTATTCACGTGCCGATTTCAGCTAGGGAAAAGATCAGCATGTTCCTCTAAAGCCAACCGAGTAGACATTGGTAGCAAGATACATGACATGTGCGAGTGATTGAACAAGCTCGAGAAAAAGCCACCTCGATCGTCACACACCTATTGAGAGAGATCAGGGCAGCAAGGACCCCATCTTCACACAAGATATCATGGACGTTTGAAAAGTACGATGGTACCACCAACCCCATGGACCATTTGGAGGGGTTCAAAGCTACTATGTTCTTACATGGATCCTCGAACGCATGGATGTGCAAAGCATATGTTTCCACCTTAAAGGGAGTAGCTCAACAATGGTACTTCGCCCTACCTTCTCGATCCATTGCCAGCTAGAATAGGCTTGAAAACCTCTTAGCATAGTTCATCAACAGTTGACGACACTGGAAATTAGTTGTCAACCTCATGCACCTAAGACAATGGGAAGATGAGTCCCTCTGAGTGTTCTTGGCGATATTTAACGCCAAGTCCAGGTCCAGAATTTGGACATTCTATCGTAGTGGTCACCCTAATGCATGGCTTACAGACATCCTGCTTCAATTTCTCTCCTCAAAAGATGGCTCTTTGAGATATAATCAAGCTCCTTGCCCGAACTCAAAAGTAATCAATGTTGAAAAAGCAGTCTCAGAGGCCGAAGGCTGTCCATCTGTTACATGAAGAGGTCGGGTCGGCACCGAGCCTGTTGACGGAGGAATCCCCTACCAACCTTTAGGAACTTCACACTACTCGGCATGCCACAGACTATGATCCTGATGCAGATCTATGACTGACTTCGTCAAGTGGCCTGAGAGGTTAGATTCTCAGGGCAATTAATACCACATCCTATGCCTAATCTTTCTATGGTGTGTATATAAATGCTTGTAATCCGAGCTAAGATGGGATTATTTGTCCTTCCATTCCAATTGGTACCACTTCATGCCCCTAAACATATAATCTCCCATGCAAAATAGTACGAGCACCCCAAATCTGGATTTCCTCACAAAATGGTCCTCACACCCACCACACAGTACTTGCAGCTTTACATCGGGAACATCTCCCATGAATGAAAAAATACAAGTACGGGTTGCTGATGTGGGGCTGCACAAGTGCTGTGAGGTGGGTGTGAAGAAGATTATGTGAGGAAGAAATCCAAACTCGAGTGCCCCATTGTCACGGGGTTAGTCGTGACAACACTCTGATGGCATGTCGTGGGCTTGGCAAAGACACTTGATGGCACGAAAAAGTGGTCACTTGTGACACCATGGTGTTCCCAAACAGATAACTCTCCCCATACCTCCATTCTCTTTCATTTAACGAGGGAACCATGTCATTTTATGTCTCACAAACAAGTATGACAAAATTACATCTGAAGCAAAAGTAAACAAAAATTTACACTCATCCTATTTGCACTCCTATCCATTTAGCCTAAATGATTCTAAATGCATATTACACCCAATAAGGTCAGTGCTATGGAAGGATATCAACACAAAGGCCATTAGATATTAAGCCTCACTTCCATCATAAATTCTCTTGAAAAATCCAATTAATGATAAAACATAGACTAATCATGAAACCTCTCCTCATCTTTGAGCTTTTTTTTTTTTCCGAGGAAAACTACTCTTGTTTAACAGCAATTTAACAGTAACTTGATCCATTAGTTTTTGAGGCTGTTATGTCGTCGAATGATGATCAAATCCTCTGGGATCGACTTATGACCACAATTAGGAGAACCACAACAGAGAGCAGGAGTGATGATCTCAGCCTGTCTTCAAAGAGACCCAAGATTCCTTCTGTGGTCTTCTCCCTTTCAGGAGCCTGAAATATTTCGTTCACCAGCTTTCTAATTTTTTCAATAAGTTCCATAGCTTTTGCTTTGGTGCCGTCCAATATCAACCTGAGAATGCTCCCTGCCACATTGGAACTTCCTTGGGAACTCTGCTGGCTACCATTTTCAGCTGGCATAAAACATCATAATTTTCATGCATTTGCATTTCCTCCCCTTGTACCGATATACATCATATTTGTTGAACAGAAATAAAGCAGGATAAAACACTGGATTCTTGCAAACCTGCACATAATGATTCCTTGAGCTCTCGTACCACCTCGTTGTTCAGGACAGCATCCCACACGGCTTTATCAGTAGACAATGAAATAACCATTCTCTGCATTTAATTGAAAATCCTCAAAAAGATGTGTACAACCACAAAAAACAGCACCTAACAAACCCTATTATGGATGGTAAGGTATATTTGAAGCTTCTCAACCTAAATTTGGGCAAGAAATCAGAAATATAAGGAGAAAAAAAAAGAAACACATGCAGGTATATTTGAAGCTTCTCCTTTATTTACTATTTTGTTACTTCTAAATAAAGGGAATATAAGTCAGAATTACGAAAATAATCAATGAAAGTTCACAAAAGAAGGACAACTGATTAGCATGGTCTGCTAGTCTTCAAAATTATTTCATCCAAAAACCAAAATCTCCAACAATTTGATTGAACCTATCCAAATAATAAAATTATTTCAACTTTATTAAGGATCTCAATTTGAGGAGTTGTTTGAACTTAATATTCCCTGACCACAGTTTTGCCAAATACTGACGCAGTCAAGGAAATTCAGAATTTGAAAAGTTGACAAGGCTTGCAATTTGCATTACATCTTTGATCAAAACTGCAGGTCTACACCAGAAATAAAATGAAAAAAAAAAGGAAAAATGGAAAGTATGAGAATCTTATCCCTATGTCCCTGCATGAAGTTATCCTAGCCCAAACCCAAGTATATCAGACACTATTTCTTTGTACTGCCATGGATTAGATCCTCCAAATAGATGGTGTCTGACTATATAACATATAAGGCTAAAAAAGTGAACCAAAAATCCAAGTAAATGGGAACCTATACTTTGAATAATCAGGATAGTAAAACAGCAAGTGAAACAATCTACTTCTTTGCTTACTGAATACCAGAGCATTTGTCAGTATCTCATATTACTGCATTAGCATTTGTCCAGAATATGGATATTGATATTAATGTCTATAATGCATATGTTTCTCAATGAGGCATATATTTGAATAAATGAAGCAGAATAAGTAAACAAAATCCTGCTTCTATTGAAATCTGTGGCAGACCCACAAAGTATAATTTATAATAGTTGAACAACCTAACACCCTTGCTCCTAGTCCTACAACTATACATGAACAGGACATATGGAGAAATTTGAGCAGAAGAAACAAGCAGAGCAGATTTAGAAGAAATAATCAATAATAAAAGAACAATAGCTCTAAATAATAGAGGGCACCTGCACAGATGGCTCTGTTTGAAGTAAATGAAAAGCATCATAAACTCTTTCACATTGACGAGATTGTGAAACTCTTGGATTGTAAAGGTTCAGGGCTGGTTCAATCCAGTCCTTTGGTGAACCATACAGAGAATCTCTGTGCATAAAACTGGTTGGACTCCCAATTTGATGAATCACATCCTTGTCTGAACTAGATGGAGATCTATCCTCAACAATTTGGGAACATAAAGCTGGGGCAATGATCCTACAGGAGCAAAACCATTATAATTGGCTTTTTTCATTCTCCATTTTGATGCTTGATGACTAGTTGTTGCAAATAGATGTAAAATCAAAATCCAGCAGGAGAAATTCCATAGTTAATAACGCATGAACAGTTTATAATTGAAGCAACTCTTTCTTTTATATGCATGGATATTCTAGAACTGATTACTTGTTTTATATATCAAACTTAAGAGAAACGTGGTCATTCAATTAACTTACTTGCTAACACACCCAAATTTCACAGACAGACAAGATAATTCTGGGTCCTTTACTTGCCAACCTTGGTCAAGATGATAGGCATGCAGTGGAAAGAACTGGATTTTCTCTTTCTAGTTTAATATTTATCAGCAGAAACCAACCCACATGCAGTGGTGTTTGGCAATGCAGTTGTATTTGTTCTCGTCAATTTCTGAAACTGCTGCATCAGCAAAAATCATATTTTTGGCATTTTACAATACTGTTTTGACATTATGTCTGAAAAAATAAATTAGAAATTGTTTCAAGAACCAAGAAAAAGTTGTTTCCTGAAAGAAAAACATGTTTTCCTTCAATATGTTAGATGTGCGCAAAACAATCGTCACTCTTTTTTCAATGTTCATGTGGGCTCAGATTCAGCAAACGATGTTTTCTCAAACAACCTTTAGAACTTTAGAAGATAGTTTGTTGGAATTGAATTTAAGGGGTGGGGGGGACCATTGCCAATGTCCATGGGTACATGATACACAGGAATCCATATATACCATGAGCAGAGGAAAAAAAAAGCATAACTTCCATAGTTATCATTTATTTGATGGATACACCAACAATAGAACATTACTCCTCAAATTCTAAACAAAACTGAAACCTATATTTAACCGTTTATTTGACTACAACCTATATCATAATTCTCTGATTATATTGTTTTTATCCATGTTTGTCCTTACTACATTTACAATTGGAAATGAGTGATTTGGGCACATCCCATTCTTTATACAGACGCAAACCCATCAAGGAATACATACCTCATGTTTTGACTTTTGGGATAGATAAAACAAAGAGCGGTTTCTTTGTCTTTTCAATGGGGGTGTGCCTGGTTTATTAAAAATGAGATGTGCCCTAATCAGAACTAGATTTCAAGAGATAACATCTTTATTAGACCTGTGAAATTGGCCTTAACCATAGTACTTTTACAGTTTTACTAAAGAAAGTAAAAAAGGAAAGATACCTTATCCCAAAACCAGTTACTAACAGAAAGAAAATGGGTGAACGGAAAGAAGAACAAGAAGTTTGAACATCTGAGCAAACCATACACAAACAGAGAGAAGAATCTAGAAATTTTAGATACAGGAAGAAAGAGAAGAGTAAAAGATGGGTTTGCTTACTGCTGAAGAGAAGATACAGCATCTTCGACTTCGCATTTGGAAGGAACAGATCCAAAAACGTGTCTCTCAGAAAACCCATTTGCTGTTTCTTCCTCTACTCCATCTCCATCTACAGATTCCCATTCCCACTTATCACCGTGGCAGAAAGAGTAAGAATCATGACGTAAAGGCCAAGTGGGTGTGGTAGTCGTAGAAGTATCAGAGACGGGAAGGTTTAGTGAAGAAGTCGAAGAAGAAGATGATGAAGAGCGGAGGTTAGACGTGGTGGTGGGCTTGTTGTGGGCGGCGGTTGTGGTGGTGGTGGTGGACCTGGAGAAAGCCTCCTGGACTCCACCCACACGGGCCCCAACTGCCCTTCCAACCGTCCTTAACATCCCTCCTCCTCCTCCTCCTCCTCCTCCCATCCTTCTATTGCTCCCGAACGACCTCCTCATATTCTGCTCTTACTCCTGCTAAACCTGTTTTCCTGTGTTTTGAGCTTCAAGGAGGAATAGATGATATACATACTCCATAATCCATGGGATGGTTTTGCTACTATCAATTATCTATGGTTCTATATTATCCATCATAAACAACGAGTCCTTACTTCTCTATGAATCCGAACCGTTGCAACATGGGTCCCATTACCTTTCAGAGATATCTCAAATCTGAGACACTTGAGTTGAATTCAATGGTAATGATCAATGATACTCGGAGATCTACTACGGAACCAAAATCTGCTGATATTTTTACACGATGTGACAATGGACGTGGGACTAGTTTCATACTAATGGCATAGTGCCACCTCTCCGGTCTCTTCTGAGTCTTATAAAATATCACTCATTATCTGCTACTCTTCTCAGTAATTGGTTAAGGGATGGAGACGTGGAGTTCTCCTCTCGCAACCACTGGATGGCAATAACTGCGAGAGAATCGTAAAATATAGGCTGCAGAGATAGTGGGGGTAGTTAACAAACATGCCGGAACCCACGTAGTGAAAGCTGAAGCTTGAACCTGAACGGCGGCAGCAAGTTACAATGATTTACAACTTATAATCATTCTTCAAGAAAGAAAAAAAAAAAAAAAAAGACATTAAAGTATGTATCCACTTCTACCTCTTGTTTAGTTAAATCGTCAGCCAGGAATTAACCAATCCAACATGTTTTAACTTCCATCTCCCGCACCAGTCATTTAAATTTCCTCTTCTCATTATTATACTTCCATAAATCATTTTAATCTTTAGTCAGTCACCCTATCACCACCTCTGAATCCCCTTCAATTATGAGTTTCTTGATGTTCAATTCTTTAACTTTTCGGGCTCTTTCTCATAACTGCAAATATCTCAGCTCTAAGGGAGTCACTCACTCCAATAGGCCTGAGAACATAATAGAGATGATCCCATTTTCGTCCCTAAAAAACACCTCAAATCCCCGATTGCCCCGGATTTCCCTTACTGCATCCATCAACGTTTAATTTCAAGAATCCTCTAGGTGGGGGAGTCCAAACCACTTTCATTACTGACTTGGTCTGTGTGCAATTTGCAATTTGCAATTTCACCCCACTTCCTCAACATGTCATCCACAGTGTAATCTGTGAATAGTTTCAAATATTTCAGCCACTGTACTGTCCTAATATGTATGATAGCCTTCAGATCTGCTGCTCCTCTTTGGATTTCTGAGAATATCCTAGAGTTTCTTTCTTCCTACAATGTCCAACATATTGCAACCCTTAGTCCTCTTCACATTGTCCTTCCCCTTTTTATCTGCCACCTGAAAAAGGAAGAGGAGAAAAAGCCCTGCAAGTCTGATGGGGGATTCCAGCTGCATCCAAATAAGGAGAAAACTCAATCCCAAATTGACCTCGCGAAGTGGCAAAACACTAGTAGGTGAAAACCAGTCTCCCTATCCGCTCTTCCTTCCTTTATCCACGCACGAGGATAAAGGAGACGACACATAAGAAAAAGCGATGCAATGATGTGGCAATGGTGCCACATTAGAAAAGTGTGATATGAAAAAACGTAAAATTTAATGTTTTATTAAAAAATAATCATGCCAATGGTGCAATGATGTCGCATCAATGTGGCATAAGATACCAAAATACCAATGTTGAAAACGGTTCTATATTGGTACTAGATAAAACCCATGCTATTTTCCAAAAAATCACCCAATGTGGTAACACTACTTTCAAACAAAAAATAAACACTGTTTTCTAAGGCAGTGTTTGGCATCGATGTCGTTTTTTGAGAAAACAACACCACGTAGGTGCCACATTAGAAAAAGCAGTGCTTCAGAAAATAACCACTTATTTGGTATCGTTTTTCCAAAAAAATGTTGCTTTAGATCACGCCTTGGAAATTAGGAAAGTGTGGTATGAAGCAACGCCAAATTTGATGTTTTCTTAGAAACAGCTTGTTGCCGCAAGCGGTGTAATGATGTGGCATCATCTTGGACATTGGATAATATGACCAATGCTGAAAACGATTCTACAGCACCGGTACCAAACAAAACCAGTGTTGTTTTCCTAGATAATGACCTATGTGGCAGCACGGCTTCCAAACAAAAAAAAAAAATGGTGCTTACAGCTCGACGTTTGATAACTCTGCATTTTGATGCCTTAAAGGCATCAATTCAAGGGTATTTTCGATCTTATAGTAGTCAAATTGTGTCATTTTCCCAGTTAATTTCAACATTGTGACCTCTAAGGGTACCTATGCAAATTCTATGCAAAACTGGGAAGTTTTCATGGCTAAAGTGCAGATTTTGGGAAACTAGTGCGAAGTCCAACTGAGAGAGGGGGTGTTTTTGTGAAAAATTGAAAGTATGAGGGCGCCTCCTAGTTGCTAAACCCAGTTTGGCGCCCCTCCTACTATATTAGCATGCTCCCCATGTTTTAGCAAACCCAATGACGCCTTTTAACCCATTCTTTTCACTCTTAGCAAATCCTAGCCGCCCCTAGCTGATTAATCTCCACCCTCCACTCCTTCTAATCTCTACCATCCATTCTAGGGCACTCTCTTTTTAGCATTCTAACCCTAAGAGCCACCTAACTTCTAATCTTCACCATTCAACATTTAGCCATTAAATCTCAGCCTTACATAATATTGGGTGCCTTCTTATTTTCTTCTCAGCCTTAGGATCACCCTAGAACCATTCGAACCCTTCATTCTAAACCCTAGGGCACCCATATTTTTGCTAAAATCTAGCTACCGCCCCCTCTTTCTCTCTAATTCTAGTTATATCCACCATTCTCTATAAAAAGGACCCAAGGGGCCCTGGAGAAGGGGTTGGTCAATTCACCCAGTTAACAAGGCTAAGGTTTCTTGAGGAGTTCAAGGGTTGTAGAAGGGGAGAGCGCCCAGATCTTGTCAGGAGGGGTTTTTGCAAGCTGTTCAACTAATCTGTAACTACCGCCACTAGATCTGATCAATCATTATTATCTTTTCTTTATTTTATTTTCTGTTATTTTTATTTCTGCAATCTTTTAGATTTAATTCTTGATCGTTTTTTTGTTTTGCAGATCTAAATTCGTTCGGTTCAAGGCTAAGGTGTCTCAAGGGGTTCGAGGGTTGTAGAAAGGATAGACGCCCGATTCTTCTCAGGAGGGGTTTCTGCAAGCTGTCTGGCCGATCTGCAACTACCGCCACCGGATCTGGATTCTGGATGGTTTTTTTATTTATTTCTTTTATTTCCTTTGTTGATTCCCATACTTTATTAAATTCTGATTTTTATTTATTGTTTTGTTTAAATTCGAAACATTTAATTTCAACAATAATAGATTCTATTTTCTTATTTTTTGCAATTCTCGATTGTATTCTCTTATCCGAATCTAAGTATATATTAATTTTTCACTTGCTTCCCTGTGGATACGACCCGTTCTCACCCATTTACTACATTAGTAGTTGTTTGAGAAACGGTAAAATTATAAATGTTTAAACTGGTGTTCCGGAGTGTTTAACGACGCGCTTCCAGACACACTAAGTTTTTGGCGCCGTTGCCGGGGAAGCACGGAGAAAAAAATTTGTTTACTTTTTCCTTATCTCTTTCATTATTCTTTCTTTTTCGTTTTATTATTTGATCTATTATCTCAATTTAATTCTTGTTTCTCTTTGATTCTATAGGACGGAATAGCGAAAGGTGGGGTACTAGTGCGTTACGGAACTGCAAGACAGAAGAGAAGAGAAGAGAAATTGGATTGCGTTTCAGGTGTAGTCATTCCATTTTATTTTTAATTTTCTTATTTTTATTTTTGAACTCCTTTTTTTGGTAGAATAGTGATTTTCAAATTTTTTTATTAATTTTTTTAGATCTGATTCATTATCTTAGTATTATTTTGGTTCCATTTTGTTTCTAGATCTATTCTTCTTTCTTTATTTTAATTTCTTGTTTGATTTTTTTTCTTTATTAGGTTTGTATTTTTCTTTTATTTCAGATTAAAAAATATAAAAAAAAATTTACTTCATTTTATTTTATTTCTTGCAGCAAAATTTTCTTTTGTTTTATTTTATTTTCGGTTTAATTTTTTTAGATTCGTTTTTTCTTTTTTATTTCAGATAAAAAACAATAAAAACCAAAAAAAGAAAAAAATCATTTGTTTTATTATATTTATTTTTTGCAGCGTATTTTTCTTTTCGTATTAATTTTTAGATTTGTGCTTTTCTTTTATTAAAAAAACGAAAAAAAATATAAATAAAAAATTTCAGCATTTTTTTCTTTTGTTTATTTTATTTTTGGTTTTCTTTTTTTAGATTTGTATTCTTTTTCTTTTATTTTATCTATTTCTTGCATAATTTCTAAATAGGAAATTGTTGAAATTTTCAAAATTTAGTTTAAATTTCAAATCTGAATTTAAATTTAAATTTAAATTTTAATTCAAATCTGACTTTGAATTTCAAATTTTGAAATTTAAATTTTAAATTTTTGAATTTAAAAAATTTAAAAGAAAAAAATAAAAAAAAGTTTAAAATTAAAAAACATTCAAATTTAAATCTCAAAATCTGAATTTGAATTTAAACTTTCAAAAATTTAAATTTTGAATTAAAATATATATATATATATATATAATTCGAAAAAAATGAATATATCTCTTGCATTTTCATTCCATTATTTAGGGTTTGATATTCTAGAGCACACATCATATAGGTTTATTTAATTGCTAAATTATCATTGCTATTTGTGAATGTGTTAGGTTTTATTTTTATTATTTTAATTGTTCCTTTTGCTTAATTAGCTTGCTTTATTATTTTATGTTATATTGGTGAATTGCATTTTAGAAGTAATTGTTCATGCATTGTAATTAGTTGCATTCATTTTGTTTGATTGTTTTTGTTTCGTTAATCCATTTAAGGCCATCCAACTTAAATAAGATAAGGTGGGGATTTCATCACCCTTCCTTGGCCCAAAAATCACCACCCTTTACGTGCGTTTCACCCTAACCCTAATTTAAAATTTGGATAGCAAGATCCTTTAGGGAAGCCTCACATTTGGTTCAAAGGTGTGTTGAATTTTAAGAAAGCTTGAAATTATTTTCCATAACCGGGGGTTGGTGTCTAAGGAAAGAGGTTAAACGGCTAAGCCTAAGCGGGTTTGTGGTTAATTAATTAGATCCTTGCGAGGGCAAGGGGAGCCTCCCACATCCCCACCTCTTACCTGGCTAACCAAAGGAAGTGGTGTAATTCTAAGTGAACCTAAA